GTTTGGTTTTTGGGTGCGGGCTGTGGGATGGGGCAGGGGGTTGGGGTGCAGGAGGGAGTCTGGGGTGTAGGAGGTGTGGGCTCTGGGAGGGAGTTTGGGTGTGGGAGGGGTCAGGCTCTAGGAGGGAGTTTGGGTGCAGGGTGTGGGCTCTGGGCTGGGGCAGGGGGTTGGGGTGTAGGAGGGGTTTGGGGTGCAGGCTCTGGGAGGGAGTTTGGGTGCGGGAGAGGTGGGGACTCTGGGAGGGAGTTTGGTTTCTGGGTGTGGGCTCTGGGCTGGTGCAGGGGGTTGGGGTGCAGGAGGGGTGATGGAAGGGGGTTTGGGGTACGGTTAGCATCTGAGCTAAAACTTCTTGATTTTGACCCCGTTTACATTGTGTGCCTTGGGGCACTTGTTTGTCAGTGAGGAACTGCTTCTCTCATCTATTTCCTCGCAGCGGTTTCGCTAGTTCAAACCAGGTCTGTGGTTTTGACTGGCAAGAAAACAACCCCTTCTATCTTACACAGACACCTTTAATCTGCCTAAAACGCCAACGCTAATCATAACAAACTGGACTAAGAACTAATTACCTGATCACTCTTATATCAAGCACCAGTTTGTATGATCTCGGCCATGTCTACACTACAAAATTATGTCAACCTCTGTTACACCAGCAAACAACCCAGAGAGACTGCTAACAACCAACAAACTAGAAAATGAAAAGATTCACTCACGTCTCACTGAAGAAAAACAGCCCTCCAGAGAGAATGACACTGCTACACTGGCTACAACATGCTTCCGGCTGGTTTGGCGCACAAACACCTTTTCTTCTGCCACCAGGGCTGTCCCTAGCGGGGTGCCCCACGAGGGACAAATTAGCCTGGATCACCCCCCGTGTACAGCGTGGCTCCTGCTCACTCTGCCCTTCATGTCGCCCAACTTCCCCTGTCTGCCAATGACAGGGGCCCGAACTGCCACCTGCGCGCTTGGGGTCCCAGCTACCGCCCTGCCCGCCACGGGGCTCGGGCTGCCGGCCCCCCACTGACCAGAGCTCGTCTGCCTGCTCAGCGCTCCATGGGGCTCGGGCCATCTGCCCTGCAACTGGGTCCCACTTGCGGCCGCCCATGCCTCTGGCCGCCATTAGGGAGATTTTTCTGGCGAACCCCCTGTAACATTGTGTGAACCCCCAGGGGCTCACGAACCCCAGTTTGGGAACCATTGGTGTAGACACTGTGTTACTTATATTGTCTTTAGTGGCCGCCAGGAGGTGTCCCACAATGCCCCACCTTGACCGCTTTGGTCACAGTTTTGATCTCTGTTGCCCAATGGACAGGTATGCAGGAATGTGTCCCTGCCCTTTAAAGCTCCACGAAATTTTGATGATACCCTAGGAAGAAAGGAGAACAGCAGAATACGGACCTTGGACTTCAGAAAAGCAGACTTTGACTCCCTCAGGGAACAGATGGGCAGGATCCCCTGGGAGAATAACGTGACGGGGGAAGGAGTCCAGGAGAGCTGGCTGTATTTTAAAGAATCCTTATTGAGGTTGCAGGAACAAACCATCCCGATGTGTAGAAAGAATAGTAAATATGGCAGGCGACCAGCTTGGCTAAACAGTGAAATCCTTGCTGATCTTAAACGCAAAAAAGAAGCTTACAAGAAGTGGAAGATTGGACAAATGACCAGGGAGGAGTATAAAAATATTGCTCAGGTTTCAGAGTAGCAGCCCTGTTAGTCTGTATCCGCAAAAAGAAGAACAGGAGTACTTGTGGCACCTTA